AAAAAATTGTTTAACGATATTCTTTGCGCTGTCTGGTGAAATTACTCTTGTAATTATCGTATTTATATTACATGTATTTATATTACATGTCGATATTTCAACTGTACAACGATAACGTGCACAAGGCGCATGAAAAAAGATTACCGATATATCGCGTTTAGAAATCTTGTTCTGTTTGAAGTGCGCGATATGGAGTGGACAGAAGTGGCTTTACGCTAATGATTTATGCAGTGCGAGGGATCGAACAGCTGATATTACGTGCGTCGCGATAAAAACGAAATTTATGGCGTACGCGAAAGAGAGACATTGGAAGTAATAGATTCGGATCATTGCGTAGCGTGATCGTCCCGAACCGCAAGTAAGTCCGGCGAGGTCGTCGCGTCAACCAACCGGCCGTGCGATTTGCATTCGGGAGAAAAAGATGCGGAAAGAGGAGAGGAAAATAAAAGGGTCGGCTTCTCTAGCAGCGCGATTATACCTCGAGCGGTATGCGCGAAATGCCGTGCGTGATTGCACGCATGCGGGACCGGAATGTCAGTAGATGAGATTCCGCCGGTCGACAATTTCCCCCGGCGAGAAAAGAGGATACCCGAGGACATACCGGAGGTATCCCGCGACGGAAAACAACACTCTCCGGTGATGTACGCGGGCGAGGAACAAGTTGAACGATTAACGGCCGCGTTGCACAAAAACACATATTACATCCAAACGCTACGTGTATTGAGTGCTTTTACATTTTTAATATTCTTAAATTTGCACTTCTAATATTTCTACAACATTGAAGCGAAAGAATGAAGTGAAGTTACTTAAGACTCGTCGTTTTGAAAATTTTTTCGAGGAATAACATCTTTTTTTTTCTTAATTAAAAATGCGCTCAAGCGTGAAGGAACATGATGTTCATCGGATTAACTGCAGTGTTCATTTGAACGTTGCGTTATCGCTCGGTCGTGATAATGACGTACATCGCATTCGATGCCGGACGATCGAATCCCGCGTCGATTGATGGTTGCGGCTGGAAACAGGCTGTGTTTTCTTGTGCTTCTGGCCGCGGCACGGCAGGGGATACCCGAAGCATCACTCTCTCACGGCCCCGAGACGAAGCGCGACACTTCGGCGTGTATCGCGTAATAGACCGCGAGCGCTCGGTAATTTTCTGCTAATAACTCGCTAGCCTTTGGCCTCACATGAACCACCGGGTATAAAATTGTCGACGAACCCGTCGTACATGCGCCTTCGCTCCGACCATCGTCCAGCTGGCCAGCAGCGGAAATGGTATTCCGCACGTACGCTTGGCTGGTACGAATTCCACGTGTTTCGCATATAAGAATTAATTGATGCACCAGCATCTGTCTTTATTTTTTATTATTGTTGGAGAAGATCGACACAATTTATTTCTTGTATCAACCACATCAGGAAATGAAAGAAGATTGCAATTCTTTTTTTTGTCTAATCAGGAATCAGCAATCCATGCTTGTAATGATCTCGCGTCTTTTGAACTTGATCTTTATATATATATATATATATATATATATATATATATATATATATATTTATTATATATATATATA